AAAAAAAAAAAATGTTGCCATCTAGTTGATTCTAACTCATAGCAACACTATAGGACAGAGTAGAACTGCCCCATAGGGTTTCCAAGGAGCGACTGGTGGATTCCAAATGCTGACCTTTTGGTTAGCAGCTGTAGTTCTTAACCACTGCGCCACCAGGGTTCCTAATAAAGCATATAAGTATATAATAACTTATACAAGGAGCCCTGGTGGCGCAGTGGTTAAGACCTTGGTTGCTAACCACACGGTCTGCTGTTCGAACCCAAAAGCTGCTCTGCAGGAGAAAGATGTGGCACAAATCTCAAGTGTATAATTCAATGAATGTTTACATATATAGAAACTCTTGTAACTACTACCACTTAGATCCAGATAGAGACTATTTTCAGCACCCCAGAAGACTCCCCTTATGTCTGCTTGTAGTTATTCACCACCCTCCTCCTCAAACCACTGTTCAGACCTCTGTCACCATGGGTTACTTTTGCCTGTTTTTGAACTTCATATAGTTGAAATCATACAGCGTGAACTCTTTTGGATTTAACTTCTTTCACTCAATATTATATCTTTGAAATTTTTCCATGTTGTCACATGGATCAATAATTTGTTCATTCTCATTGCTGTGCAGTATTACATTGTATGAACATACCATGATTTACCCCTTCTACTGCTGATGGATATTTGAGTTGTTTCTGGGTTTTGGCTGTTATAAAGCTTCTGTGAATATTCTTATACATATCTTTGGCATACATAAGCACTCTTTTTTCTTGAGCTTAAAATGGAGTCGCTGGATCATAAGATGTTTAGATTTAGCAAGTACTGCCAAACATTTTTCTAAAGTGTTTGAACCATTTTACACTACCACCACTTGCCAACACTTGATACTGTTAGTTTTTTTAATTTTAGCCAGATTTCTGTTCGTTTCTGAATTTCATTTTATTTTTTTCCCTTCATGTTAGAATCCACGTTCCAAAGTTTATTTTTAAGTTAGATCCTCTACAAGCTGGCAATTTCTTTTCCCTAATGTGGCAGTTACCTGCATTATTATTTCATGTTGATTGTTCAAACCCATCAAACTGTCTTGAATACATTGAGAATTGCTCTCGTGTAGTTTTCTAGACCTGTGCTTTTCCATTTTGTCTCACTATAAAGTCTTCCTTTGAAAAAAATATTTTTATAACATTGAGTTGAAAAGTATAGTCACACACAAAAAGTGGCTGTGAATTCAGTATGGCTTTTAAATCAGTTTATATTTTTAAAATCACCAAACCCCATGTAATTATATTTGAAAAATAGTGTTTCTTACCTTTAAAATATTAGTCAGAATAGATCATGCTTGTTGTTCATATAGATTTTCACTAATAGAGCTATGGCATCTTTGGTCTGCTCCTTGGGAGCTACATAAACATGGGTGACCAGACCTTTACTTTCTTAGTTTAGTGATGAGTATTTTTAGTTATCACAGGGAGCAGAATTCAGTGCCATATCAAACCTTTCCTTTTAT